GACAATATCAGGATCAGTACCATCTTGGGTCATTTTATTAAGCATCTCAACCGCTGATTTCAATAACTCATTTTTGCATAAGCTATCAATCATTCCAATGTATGTTATTTACCCAACAGCGATCCCATTTCTCTTCATTCTCATGTATAAAGCCTCTCGCTAGATCAAACTCTGCATGATTACACAAGCTATCTTAACGAAACCCACATAGCTAACTTTACTAAGAATAAGGCCGTGTGCTTCCATCATATAAAACATCTTTAAAGCCTCTTTAAAGTTTTCCTCACTAATAATGTGTCCATCCTTTGCCAGCTTTGCGACCACTCCGGGTCCAATCTTGTATCCTTTCGTGTTCTAATAATTAAGGGTCCATTATATATATATATACATATTTTATATAAACATATATATATATATATTTCTTTGGATAGATAAATCATAAGGGCTAGTTTTTATATGAATTGTTAATTATAAAATCTTATACAATTAGCGAGGAAACATTCAGTAAATGTTTTTCAAATAATATAAAATTTAATGGTCCAAAACTCTTTTTGCCCTAGGTTCCATAAATATATTGAACCGGCCGGTCCATCAAAGAAAGTGTTGAAAGTAACAGACAAAAGTTGACGATTAATGAGTTATAAAGTTGCTGGTATACGCCTATACTGAAACGTGTAATATCAACATGTGGGTAATTTGAAGGATCTCGTGTTAACGACTGGCTGAGATTAAACGGCAGGAGAGTAGAGTAGGTGAAATGTCGATGACTACTTTAAAGTTTTGCCTTGCTCAGTTAGGTGATAGCAACTTCCGAATCACAAGCGTGGCTCCCCTTTTTCAGCTTCATATTTTATTTTTATTTTTATATTTTTTTTGTCGACCAGCTAAATATTTTATTTATTTTATCAATTGTTTGACTTATTATAAATTTGTGCTCAAACATAGCAACAAAATTACATATTATGTCATGTAAAACTTCAGAGCAATAACTTTATAGTTTATACACTTTTTGTAACTTTATAATTTATATACTTTAATAATTAGAACTGGAAAATTGTCGGCAAAAAATTCAAAACAATAACTATAAAAATAAATACTTATATTTTTAGAAATGGAAAATTGTTGACAAAAAAATCAAAGTAATAACTTTGTCTATTTTTGTTATTGAAAATGTAAAATGGGAGAAACGTGTTACCTTATGATCATAACAAAACTTTAAAACGAAACTGCAAGACAAAAAAAAGATGATCAGAAAAGAAAATTAGAAATACATAAATGTGAAAGCGAAAAGGTAGGAGAAGAGTTAAATGAAGAGAATCTCTAAATGTGTAGAAACTTCCAGCTTCATGGCTGTAAGTAATTTCAGGACCATTTTCAGCTTTCTCTTTAACCCACTATACCCAGTTTCCACTTTCTGTCACCGTTAGTAACCAGTACATCCACTCTCCTCCACTATAAATCTGAGTCACACACATACCTTCCCTGCTTACTTACGCCGCACGTCACACTTCTTCTTCTTCTTCTTTCTTGTTTGTCTAGGGGAAGAAGATGAGAAAATGTTGACAGAAGAAAGAGAGCACAAGCCGGGATCAGCAAAAAGAGCGTTTTGCTCGTGTCGGGAGTGTGCTCTCTTTGCTTCTGCCACCATCGCACACATCATTGTGATCGTGTGAGCGTAAGTTGCCTATGTACACACTTTAGATACTATGCTTTGCTTTTAACAAGGTTTCTTCAGTGTCAAAGAAGGTTAGTAACTTCGTGATTTATTCATTCAGATTTTTTGTTCTCATCATAGATATATGCAAACCGGACCGGTTTACTTTTATCTTTCAGGCCGTTAGACTTGGTGCACATTAAGACCGACTATATATATATATACTACCCATCCTTCATCAACTTGGAACTAGGGTTTGTTTTGATTGATCTGTAATGTCACACCTAATACCTTCTATTTAGCTTGCATAGATTCTGAGATGGATTTTGATATATGTATGTAAATCTGACCGGTTTAGTTTTATCTTTCAGGCCACATACATTATGAACATCAAGACCTACCTATTTCCCATATTCATCAACTTTGAACTAGGGTTTGTCAATTTGTTTTGATTGCTATGTAGTATCACCATTACAAAAATAGCAATGGAACTTTCTTTTTACAGAACTTGTATAGAGATTCTACTGACTTTGGAACTAGTTTGCTCTGTTAAACTAGATGATCTTTAGATTTGGATTCCGAAACGGGGTTTATACGAACTCAAAAGAAACTAATTTTTCAATATAAACTCATTGAACCGAAGGCCACATATTGTTAATCACAAACGAGAGATTCAAAAGAAAGAATTAAAAGAAAAGACAACGTACATGGTGCTGTCTCTTTCTTGATCTTCTGTAATAATGTCTTCAAGACTTAGCTGACAAGCAAAGGACGGTGTAGGTTTCTGTTATGCCTTGGAAGGTGTATGTGAGGAAAGGAAAGAAGAATGGAGAAGGGAATGAGGAAGATATATTAAAGAAGAAGTAAAGACTCTAATTGGAAGAGAGGGTTTGCAGTTTAAATATCTGTTGTATAATTAAGAGAGGAGTGAGAGAGTATACTCTTTATCTTTGATGTTAGCTTGAAATGAGTGATAAAAGATATTGTGTACGTAGAGTTTTGACCCAAAAAAAAAGATATTGTATAGAGTTATTCTTGAGAAGAGAATCACTGATATAACTTGTATTGAGACTTGTTATAGAGCAATAAGAAGTTTGTTCATAACAAATTGGTGCAGTATTAATACAAAACCAGCATCCCATAGCTTATCTCAGTTATGGCTTGGAGGAGAAGGAACACTTGGAACCCATATGAGAGAGATGGCAATTGTAAGGGCTATACAAAAGTGGAGGCACAATATATATATTGGGAAGGAAGTTTATTGTGAGAACAGACCAAAAGAGTTTGAAGTTTCTGTTGGAACAAAGAAAAGTTAATTTAAAGTATACACAAGTTGTTGGGGTTATGAATTTAACATTGTATACA